TTTTTTTTTTTTTTTTTTGCTATTAAATGGGGTTGAGAGTTTCCTTGGGGTTAAGGGAAGGTTGCCTTTATCACGAGCACTTCCCTGTTGGTATCAGTGAAGGAGATTCTTCATTTTATACAAATTGTTCGATGTTGCCCAAACTTGAATGAGCAACTGCTTACCTTTCAAGCTTACTATAAATGAAGACCCATCAATCCCCCTCTATGCTACATCACTATTCTACACTCAGGGGATATGCGAAAATCTGTTGACCTGAGTTTTCATCAGTATGTTCATCGGCTATCTGTTACTGTAACAAAATACCTGAGACAGTCAACTTCAGTCCATGGTCTCAGCCCTGTTGCTTTGGGCCTGTGGTGGCACAGGATGTTGTGGTAGGAGCATGGGACAGAGGAAGCCTTTTCACCTCATGGCAGCCAGGAAGCAAAGAGGGAAAGAAGAGGTGCCAAGACACCCCCAGTGAACTCACTTCCTCTCCCTCCCTCCCTTTAGGGACCCACATCTTCAAGGTTCCACCAAAAGTTCGAGAGGCTGGTGACACGTGGGCCTGTGTGGTTCAGATTCGAAGTATAGCACTCAGTGATGGTAGCAGAGGCAGGAGTTGCCCAAGCAGAAGGAAGATGAGCTGATTGATGTGACCAGGGCATGGAGAAAAGGGTTGTGCACTGTTTCTTCCAACCACTGTCTCTTCAGTCCTCTGGCCTTATTGGGCCCCGAGGGAAGATCTTCCATACAATGAGGTAAATGAGACTTGTACACCAGGCAGAAGCAAACAGAACTAATTATATAAAAACAGAGACTCCATCACAATATCTACTGTCCTGGCCTTGAGTCGACCTCTCACACACAAAGCTTTCTAGGTCATGGCTTCCAGAGCTTTCCCCTGGGTCTACCATCCAGTGGTTAGGAGTTGAGACACGCCCAGGAAAGAGCCTGGTGGACAAGGCTGACAGACTGCTCATCCTCTAATTTTGTTCTTTTTTCTTGCCTTGCTCATGGAATCCCATATTATTGAGGGCAGTGATGTACTTTGATAAAATATACACACCAGCTGCTCTTACGAGCAGGAGTGATGAAAGAAATATAGGCTAACGTCCCGATTTGAGTTCTGTGGAGTCAGTCAGTGGAGAGGTTTCCTTGCCTTCCAGCTCTCTGGACATAGATGTGAAGGCTGGGCTCCATTAGCGATTTTGTGATGATAAAGCAATTCTGAAATGGAAGTTGTATGGTTAGGATTGGAGCAGATACAGAAGAAGAGTCCAGGTCTTTGATGGCCCTGGAACCAGATTTTCCAGCTCTGAATTTTCTCCCTTGGATTTTTTCATATAAGGTAGGTTTCTGTCTTGTCAAAGCCTCCTTCTTGGGTTTTCCATTCTGTACAGCTGAACATTATCCTAAACATATCCCGCCACGAGAAAAAGAAAACTGAGTAGAAAATTATGTCATTTTATAGAAAAGAACAGCACATTAAAAGAAGTCTTACCATCATTCCACTATTTTGACTTTCGTCAAGCACTATAGATGTGCACTGTAGTACATTTGAAAACAAAGGCAAAGCTATCCCTAATATGTAATAGATGAAGCTGTTGCATTGATTAATTCTCAGCTCCAACACCTGCATTGGATGTTGAGTTCCTACCTAGGGGGACCCCCGTGGAGCTGGGCAGGGAACCCTGTGACCTGTGGTGGCCCCAGGTGTTAGCCAACACTCAGAGAGCAATGAGACTGCACAGGTCCCCGGACACCAGGTCTGGAAGATGCTTGGCCAGGCCAGTGCTCCATCTAGACAACAAGAAGCCAGATTCTTGGTTTCAAAGAATATAAAATGGCACTCAGTATAATCACAGCGTCTTGCTGACAGCACTCTGCTTTTCTCAATGCCGGACATTCTCAGTGACATGAGGGGTCGTTTGCAACTTCTGACCTTCGGCAGCATTCAAGGACTCTGAATTTTGACCCAAACTTTAATCTTTTTGGAGTTTGAGTTCAATTTGTTCTGGGAAAAACACACTTCCTGTTTGGAAGGGAAATCGTTTAAAGGGGCTTATGAAATAAGGGATTCAGGAAGATTCTTGGACACGAAGTGATTCTCACTGAAAAGTTGTGCTGAGTTATGCCTAAGTGAATCAGAAACATACATATTAAATTTCCTTGAAATACACATAGGTCCAAAAATATAGGGGAAGAGGGGCTTAGCAAGATGCATTTTGCCAAACCCAAAATGTTTGAAAAATAACTTGAGTGTGTTAGGGTTTGGCAAATCACTCCTGGTTCAGCTATGCTGGTCTCACAGCAGTAAGACGCTTCCCCTGCCCTTTGTCAGAGACCTCCTATAAAAGGAGCAGCCCAACAGAAGACTCTGCCCTTGGATTTTTGCCATTACATGAATGCTGGTGTGAAAGGAGACAGGAGGAAGAGATCGTCAAAATCTATGTACTTGTGAAACTTCCCAGAAATCCTATAGTAAACGCCCTTGTAATAGGAAAACAATCAGGCAGAAGTATTCATTTCTCCAGTGACCAAAAGTCTCTGTAAAGCCCACCACACCTTATTACGTGTGCAAGGCATAACAGGTGTGGAGACTACATACACGTATGCTACGTCATTTAGCCTCTTATGGAGCATCGTGGTAATTCTAATACAGGCACACCACTATAGAATGTATACTTTATAATGCTTTTCACTGCTGATCATGTCTCCAATCGTTGAGTTTTATATTATAGTATATCGGGTTATATATTGTGTTTTATGTTACTACATAGTTTATTCACCAGGAGACAATGAATTGACTACAGTGTTTGCCATTGGGGTAGTAAATAAGCATAAACATTAAAAGGTGATTGAATTTTCATGGCTTAAAAGTACATCTTATGAATTCTAAAGATACTTCAGCTATTGTGACTCTTGGCCCATCTTTTTTAAAATTAATTTTATCAGTACATTTAATGTATACAATATAATTGTTGGGAATTTATACCTTTACATAATCATCTTGGTTTTTATTTTTCCCCATTCCCATGCAGTACCAGCGTTTGCACCTGCTCATGATGTCCAGGGATCCCACTGTAATTCTCCTATTGGCCACTAGATGTCATGGGACCAAGGTG